CGTATTTTAAACATATATATTTGTCCACGGAATTAAATAGTCTAGGGGGTAATAGATCCTTATGAAAGTTTAGTATCGCAACAACAAATTCGACCAAAATTGAGATATTTTTCAGACCCTTATCCCTTAATTTTATGATGTTAAATAAGGTACATGCTAGAGTTAAAAATTTTAAAAATTATCAAAAATATTAGATAAATAAATTAAAATAGATATTTTCTTACGATATTTCGGAATAGATTAGCAGTAATGTCGTATTAATTACATCAGCGGTCATGCTTGACATTTCACTTTCCGTTATTATTATTAGTTGACAATAAATATAATAAAGAAAAAAAACGCCAACTTTGATTATGAGTTATGGAGCATAATACTTCTCTGTTTAACTCTTTTTTAAGAACAAGTATGAATGAGTGAAATTAAATTGATACTAACACCGTTTTATATTGGATGAACATCTTAATCACTTAATAAATCAGAATAGAGTTAATTAATTTGTCATTGCTGATATATATGATAAAAAAAAACATATATTAAACTCTTATATTAAATCCAACAATATCATAAAAAGAGATAAAAGGATTATTTCCACTTATTGGTACTAAGCGTTACACAAACTACTTTAGAATAATAATAAAATCATGAAATTACATTTTGTCAATCAAAATATTTTACTTTATGATTAGTGGTGTCACAAAAACACTAGCTTGTACATGCAGTAGAAGATAAAGGTTTACTCTATTTTTATTTTAACGTTGATATTTTTGGAGTCTCTAATCGTAGGCGTGGGAACCAATAATACCACTATATTCCTTATTTGATCTTAACGAAAATATCTTTACTTGAATCGATATTAAATTCTCAATCTCTTAATTTTCAATTTTGGGAATTTGGTAATATTACGATTTTATTTTTTAACTTTGTTAAATTTAATGCTTTGAAAAATGTGTTAGATGATAAATAATATTTAATAGCAAGGGTAAAATAGACGCAAAAGATAAATTATCTCTTGATTTTCTAAATTGGACAAATATTGTTGAACAACTATTTTTAGTATAATGAACAATTATTGTTGGACGAAGGAAGTACTCCCTCTGTCCCTAATAACTTGTCCACTTTTCCTTTTTTAGTTGTTCCTAATTACTTGTCCATTTTGACAAATCAAGAAAGGACAATTTTTTTTACCTATTATACCCTCAATTAATTACTTTGAAAAATGTAGAACTTCTTGAAAATCTTAAGTTTTTAATTTATTCACTTCATAATTAATAGGGGTAAAATGGTAAATTCACTATATCAATTATTGTATTCTTAATAGATATGCTAATTCAAAATTGGACAAGTAATTAGGGACAAAGGGAGTATGTGTAAACCGTTCAAAAGATACAAATGACTATATATAACATCAATTTTTCAAATGATTTTGTAATTCATTTTTATGTTATAATAATAATATCAAAACTTTTACGTAGTGAAATTAACCACGTAATATAAAAAAGCAAATATCATAAAAAATTTGAGATGAAGATGATTTATTGAGTTGATTAGGAAAAATGTTAAAAGGAAAGAGACAAGCGGGACCATTTTATATGAATGTCACTTTAATGCTGCGCAACGACTAGAAAGGGACAATGAATCAAGCTGGGAAAGCTCAACATAACTATCACATCTAGTTTTTTTTTTTTTTGGGTAAAATGTGGTTGAAATGCTAATCAGGGCTGATCTAGTCGTATGGCGATGAAAAATTATATTATTTATATCAGATAGTTTTTAATTTTATTTATATATATATAAAGAAAATTCAAATTCCCTAAATCCAAAAATATTAGAGGTTGGTTCAGTGATTGTATGATTCAAAGTCTATTTTGAGTTTTCAAGTTCAAATTCAAACACTCTATTTTTGTTTTTTTTTTTTGAATTCTTATGTGAAAATTCTAAATTCGTCACTATTATTAATGATCTTGTATTTCATTGACAAACTAGTGGCGTCATTTAGGGTTGAGCATAAAATCCCGAGAATCGATTTGAAATTTTTGATAATTTGATATTCGGTAATTTGGTATTCGATCGATATGGTATTCAGGGAGTAAACTTTTAGAATTACGGTATTCGGGAATTTGTACGAAACATTAGTACTATTTGATATTCAGTATTTTTTGAATATCGAATTATTTACTTAATGAAGGTCATATATCAACATATCTATTTTTTATTAATACAAGTTCAAAGAAAAAGTTAAAGACTAAAGATAAACAACCCAAATACTTATATGTCTTTTAGTTGTGTCAAATTGCTTTTCTTGATCTTCTAATATATCGTGCCTCCACATAGAAAAATAGATATAATTGGAGCAATAGTATTAACTTTATAAAACAATCAACTACTACTTCAATATAGAATTATCGAATACCATATCAAATCGAAGTTTGATTTACTGATTACCAAATTACCAAATCAAAATCTAAAATTTTAACTACCAATTACCAAATAATCGAACCTGAAATTTGAAAATTCTAAACAAATAGCGTTAGTTGATCAAGAATATTGCAAAACACTTTTTAATTACCAACGAAGATTGTGGTGGAGTGGTAAGTACTCATTCATTCTTAATTAAGAAGTCTCAGGTTAGGTCAAAATGTAATACTCCCTCTGTCCCTAATTACTTGTCCATTTTTCCTTTTATAGTTATCCCTAATTACTTGTCCATTTTGACAAATCAAGAAAGAACAATTTTTTTTACCTATTAAACCCTCAATTAAATAGTTAATTACTTTGAAAAATGTAGAATTTTTCATCCACTTCATAATTAATAGGGGTAAAATGGTAAACTCACTATGTCATTAATTATTTTCTTAATTGGTGTGTCAATTCAAAAGTGGACAAGTAATTAGGAATAGAGGGAGTATATGTTTATATAGTTATTGGGCAAAAAGAGTCTTTTGTGGCCCGGAACGCTTTACCACCTAATGTGGGACTTCCCAGTGTGAATCTAAATTTAGTTGGACTTCATCGGTAAAAAAACACTTCTTAATTAAGGAAGATATTTAATACCAGCATTGATTATAAAGTAAGGGTTGATTTGAAAGAAGAAACGAAACTTAACAATTTTTTTTAAATTTTTTTTAATACATCAATTTTTTATTATGCTAAAACCACAAATATCTCATGAGGAAATAGAATTTTACACGAAAGAGTCTTCAATACTTATTGTGAAAGGGACGAACAGATATATTATTCCCAGCATTTTATTTTACTTATTCAGTATATTAATGATAATTTTTCATTTTATTTAATCACTCTAAAAAATTAGGAAGATTAATTATTTTTCCCGAAAACCATTATTATTAAGTAACATTTTCTCAAATTTCAGTATATATGTAGTACTTAGATTAAGTTTTTAAGGAAAAAGAGTCAAAAATGTCCTTAAACTATGTGAAAGGAATAAAAATCCCCTTCGTTTATATATAGTTTGGTCCAAAGATCCCCTTGCCGTCAATACTTTGGTTCAAAAATGTCCTTA